AGCCAAATATCCTTTTTGTCCAACTCTTATTATCTCAAGCTAATTTCTTAAAGAATATTTCAGAGGATTTAATAAATTTTTTAATTCAAATTGATTTTGCAAGGACTACTTACTAATATCGGAGAAATTTGAAAAATACTTAACACAAGTTTATTTTTGAAGGAATGTTGAGGCATGTAGAATAAAGTAGCATGTGTAAACAGCGAAAAATTTGTATATTATTATATTTATATGCTCAATATCAAATGTCTTTAATATGTGGACAAACCCCAATGGCTAAATGCGCTAACTGGTTATGCTAGAGCATTTTAACTTGTTTAGTAAGTGTTCACCAAAGTGTTAATTAAATTTGCAAATTGGCGCATGCTTTTATTTTTTAGTTAGCTGTTTGCTTATTGGAGTCCAAAGTAGTTATTTGGGATCATTTGGAGTTGATGGTGTGCACATTAACATTGATTATTTGCAACACCCTAATAACAGAGAATGTCGTGTGTGAGTAAGACGTAATTTTCACGTATTATTCTGCTTGAGTTCGTCAAATGATCTTTCGATGCACATCCTACCTTTTTATTTTGGTCTCTGCTCGCCGAAGTTTGGCAGACGGAAAAATTGCTTCTTGTTACAAATCGAGTGCCAAAACTGATTTTGAAGAATCGATGCGCAACGATGCAGATGTGCAATTAAGTAATTTAATCACAGGCATAAAACACCAATTCCAATTCGTTGGCCAAAAGGCAATCTGCATATGAGAAAACCTGTAAAAACAACACATTTTAACCGACCAACAATGAGATGAATGCAGCAAGGGCAGCACCAGAAAAGGTTGTTTGGGAACAAACCAAAATCTGTTCAACACATTTTAACCGACCAACCAAGAGATGAATGCAACAAGGGCGGCACCAGAAAAAGGTTGTTTGGGAACAATCCAAAATCTGTTCATTCTGTGTGGCACAGGTATACGAAGGCCTTACAGTGGTCGCTCGCTGAAGCGGAAAGACGTATAAGTTCTAAAGCCCTATTGATTTAATTTTAAGCTTATTCATTTATGAAAAAAGCGTTATTCTAAAGATGGTTCCTCAAATTAGATATTTAAAATAGATACTGAGTCGACATCCCTAAAATCAAGCAGTGAAGCTTTCACTAAATAAAATATATAAAATACAAATAAATAATCTAAATTAATAAGTTGTGAGATTTAATTTATTATTTCAGTATTGATTAAAATCATTCTTTTCTCATTTATAACTTGATTTATGAACAACAAATGGAAAATGTAGTATTTGTTGGAAACATTTTCCAGCACTTTAAATGACATATCTTAAAAGTAGCTTTAATGCAGTTAAAAGTTTTAATTTAACTTTCAAGTCCTTAAAGTGGAAGTTCTAATTGATATAGCTCAAAATTAAAAATTGTAAATTAAATATATGAAAGTGTGTTTTTTTTTTAAACTTTTAAGCACTTAAGAGTTTCAAGCCTTATTCATTTAAGTCCTCGAATAGAAGTTTTAGTGAGTGGGCTCACTGTAAAAGCTTTTTGAAAAATCAACTTGGTCCGTGCGAGCAATTTACGCTTGCAAGCAAATTGAAAAACAATCGGGAACAGGCGCGAAAAGAGAAGGATGAGCATGAGGATGAGCAGTGGGATGAGCAGTGGGATGAGGGGGAGCTGTGCCCTGCTCTAACTGGAGGACTGGGGTTAGCGGGCAGACGCCGTGTGGCATGGGCCGATTTAGCGACAGGTTGACGCATTTTGAAAACAAATTGGCACAGTTTGTGAACATGATGTTCTGTTGTTCTTTTGCCTGTGTATGTTGTGTGTGTTTGACTCAATTAGAGGCAACTCATTTAGGCCGACACATTTGGACATCAATTTGTGTGCGTAAAATGTTAATCAAAGCCTGATGAGATTTTTAGGCCAACTAATAAGAGAGCGAGACAAATATATATAGAGAAGGGAGTGAGGAGTGAAAATGACAGTGGAGAGTCGCTTCAATTAATATGCAAAATTTATGCATGGGAAAGCTGGAAACAAACCAACCAACAAACAAATAACCAACAAAGACAAAATGAGACATGGCAAAAAGTGCGCAAAATGAAAATTCGACCGCGTTGCAAGAAATCAATACAAATTAGTTTTTTTTTTTTTGGTTTTTGTTGCTGTTTTTCTTCTTACTGGTGTTGACTTTTTATACATAAGCCAAATATCCTTTTTGTCCAACTCTTTTCTGGTATTTTTTCACACATTTTTAACCCCACAAAGTCAAATGTAAACATTGAATTACGATAGAGAAACTGCATTTAAAAGTGATATTAATTTTCATATTTTTTTATTTTAACAATTTTAATTTCATTCTGAAAAATTTTAATTTATTTGTATTTGTTAAAAAGCTTAAGTTAGATCTTTTAAGTTTTTTTTTTATTTTTTATTTTATTTAAAATCAAGTTGACAAAAGAATTGTTATAATTTCAGAGAATTCTAAATTTTGTTAAAATCATGCTTATTTTATAAGGACTATTAATCATTTCAGAGAATTGTAAAAATGATATAACTCAAGCTCATTTTTTGAGAAATATTTCACAGAATTGTACAATTTTTTTTAAATCAAATTGATTTGTAAGGAATACTTATAATATCGGAAAAATCTGAAAATGATTTAACTCAAGTTTATTTTTTAACGAATGGAAATAAGGAAATTATAATTTATATATTATTTTTATTGTGGCATGTAGAAGCAGATAACCTTTACTATAATCAGAATTTCAGATGCAATGAGACAAATGTGGACAAGCCCCAATTAGAAGGAGTTGACTGCGGTGCGCTAATAGGTTATGCTTGGGTCGGGGGAATTGTTTTGTTTATGCTTCGATTTTTTTTTAATTCTGGTTTTTAAAAGTGACGTGAGATAAGGCTCACCGCATGTTGCATGTTGCAATTAAATTAGTGTGACATGGTCTGGTTCTGGACAGAAGCGAAGGGGTTGTTTCGCTGCGAGACTCGCGTCTGCATTTGATGACTTGCTGATGATAAAGTTGTAGCCACAACAGAATGATGGCAAGTGCAAGTGCTTTTGTATCTGTACCTGTATCTCAATTTGTATCTGTATCTCTATCTGTAGTACCTTACACAGATACTTGCGACAAGCGCCAATGCTTAACGGGTCGGGCTGAAAAGTTTACCATCATCATGACCATGTTCCTGTTGTTGTTGTTGTTGATGCTGTGGATAATGATGATGACCTGCGCAACAATAGTTTGCATCTCACAGACACAAATGTTGAAGCTCTTGTTCGTTTTGTAACTGCTACAGGTCTTGTTGTTGTTGTTGTTGCTACTGTTGCTGTTGCTGTTGCTATTGTAGTTGGCTTGCCGCAATCAACTGCACTTCATGTTGCGGTTGCCTCTGAAACTTGCCATGCTAAGGCATGTGTCTGTGCGTGTCTGTGTATATCTGTTTGTACTAATCAAATTATCACGTGCGCATATCCTTTTCTGGTCCAGTGTCTGTTCCCAACAGTGTTGTTTAATTTTGAGCAGCTAAAAAGATAGTTTTCGCTGAAAGAACTGTTGAAATTGCTTGGCAGCTAAGCGGCTAAAGTTTTGTTTCAAGAATCTCCACTAAAGCAATTTTAACAAAGCTCAAAAACTGAACAATTTAAATAATAATAATAATACAAATTGATAATACAGTTAAGAGGCTTATTAATATATACATTTTTCTATAGCTATTTTACTTCAAAGTACTTTTTTCAAATTATTGTTTACTTTCCCCAAACCTTAAAAACCTTAAAAAGGTAAACTATCAATGGCTGGCTACTTCCAAATTTGTGCCGTCAAAATCAATCATATTTTGGCATTTAAAAAGCTGATTTGACAGCGCTGGTCCCCAGGCGGCAATTTTGCTGCTGCTCTGCTTTTGACTAACTCAAACTTAACTACAAACATTTTGGGCGCTTTGTTTTTGCCTCATTTCGTTTTGTCGATTTTGATTATTTGTCTGTGGTCTGTTCGCCTTTTGTTTTGCCCGGCTTCGGCAACTATTTGGATCTCAAAAGTTGGTTTCCCCAAAGCATCACACACATACACATATGCACACACGTGCACACACATGCACACTAATTTGCGTCACGTATACCATATGCGTTTGCTTGTTGCGGTTTCTTGCAAGTGGTGCAAAGTTTTCAACAAAGGTAGCCAAATTAGAAAATGCTGAAGAGTTTGAGTGGCAGTTAGAATTAGCGCCAAATTGAAATCTGCAATTGGTGGGTGTATTGGCTAAGCATCTTATCGATAACAATCGCTAGCGCTGTAATTTAACAGTCAAATGTTAAGTTCCCACCATATGTTTTTTAAAAGTCACAAAAGCGCGCGTTCTTTGTTTTCTTGCTTTCTTTATTGAAACATTATGTCGTGATTTATAAATGAAATAGTTGGAGTATGTAATAGAGTATTGAAAATATATTGCATGACAACTGAAAGTCTTGCCTACATCAGTGTACCGTGTGTCGGTCTCCATAATAAACTGATCAAATAAAATTCAGTTAAATGCAATTTCTAAGTGTGCTGCAAATTTTCCAATTTTATACAATAAAAGAAAGTCAGCTTTTGAATTTTTGCTGCAAATAATTACGAAGAGTGACTTAAACCAATAAATCGTGACCGTGTTTATCATTTCAACAGCTGAACTATTTTGTTTTTCTTTTTTGCTGATGAGTTTGGTTTATGCAAATGTTTTGATACCGCTGCAAAAGTACGCTTCCAATTTGAGTGTTGAGCGTTGCCAATGCTTCTGTGTTCGAAATCTTTTCTCAGGAACTATTGTTTTTCTTCAGTTTTTTTTTTCACTATGAAAATGAAATTCACATGAAAATTTGAATTATCCAAAATTAGAAATGTTCACAAATGTGCTGTCATTCCAAGTGCATTTGCAGACCACAAAAAGAAAAAGAACACCTATCTTACAACAAATATAAATTCGAATCAAGCAATTAAAACAATTTTTAATTTTGAAATGCAAGCAATGAATATTCATTTATATATTTTATATTTGTTTAACTTTTTTTTTTTTTTTTTGAAAGCAAAGGGCTAACAAACAAAATCCTAAACCCTTTTTATTGTTTACGATTATATTTCAAACATTTTCAAAGCATATTTTTTGTTCTCCGCTCTTTAAGCAATTGAGTATAGATATTTTTCTGTGCTGCTATTTTTGAATATATATATATATTTTGGGAGTAGTTTTTACTCGCTCTTGACCGGCACATAGGTCAAAATGATGGTAGCATGGGGAGCGACGAGAAGCTCGTTGAGATTCACTTTGCTCGAGTGGACCACCTTTGTGGAATTCCCGTTGTCATCCCCGTTGTAGTTCTCGCTGAAGTACGAGACGGTCATCTTCTCCGGCAACTTGTGCTCCTCCTCACCCGTGAAATTGCTCCGCTGCGGCAAATCGCTCGGATTGAAGATGACAAAGTAGCCAGGACTGCCCGACTTAATTCTGCGCAACAAAAAACAAAGTGAAGATTAATTCATATGAGAGTGGAGACTAATAAATGATAAAGTATATATTTATATATAAGTTTGTTTAGGATACTTAAAAAAAAAAAACGAAAGAAAAGAAAACTTCATTCACGAACAATTTCACATCCTAATAAAGTTGGTAATAAACCTATGCTTCAAAATTGGAAATATTAATGAATTGCGAAATGAAAGATTTCTATTCAACAGTTAATTTTTAAGCTAATTCCTATAATAAAAGATAATCGATAAGATATAAAAGAACAGAATGCCCTTGAACATAAAATATTAACTGAGGATATACATGTATATATGTATGTATATACATATGTTTGGCAAGCATATTTAAAAAATAAAGGCAAAGAGTTGCTTATACAAAATATTCAATTTATGACCAATATCTTCTCTTAATAAGCTTCTGTCTAAGAACTAGAACTATTTTTAAGTTTTTATAGAACAGTCGAACTTTAAGCTGATAGTTGCAATGTAAAGTATCTACTTCAAATTATACACCTAATAAAGATCATAAGAATTCCAATAAAGATTATGTTTTTCAAATGATTTAACTAAATGTTCGATATACCTTTGCCTTCAATTGTTAGCACAGAGAGAGAAGAGATGGTAATGATTAGTTAGCAGATGAACCAGTTATCAAATATATATATATATATTTATCGTATATGTTACCTGGAGTAGGCGATGAGTTGGTTGGCCTCATAGATCTGCATCTCGCCGTGCATGTAGGAGGGCGAAAGACGCAACTGTTGGATCTCGCTGTAGGTATCTCTGCTGACACGAGAATACTCAATGGAATCGACGGGGACAACTGGAACGCCACGCAGCAGGGACATGAACAGTGCCAAAGCAGAGGGATGCGATGTGGTGTCCAAATGGACATCGGCAAAGTTCCACTGCAGCCAGCTGCTGTTGCCCGTCTCGATGAACACCTGTTGCAGCTGCTGCATCAGCGTCATCTTGTTCGCCTGCTTGGGTGAGCTGAGTGCTTTCACAAAATCACCATACATGGGCAAATCAATGCCCAATGCGCCGCCTGCTTCACTCAGCACATAAGCCTGCGGCTGTATAATATCCTCGGCAACGGAGAGGAATGCATCCGCCGATATATTCTTGACCATGTCTAAATAATCGTAGAGGACATCGCCGAGTCCGTTCTGGAATGTGGTCTGTGTGTGCGTATAGAAGCCATAATCGACCATATTGAATTCTTGTGGTGTGGGCGAGATGCCCTCATCCCTGAGATCGTCGTTGATCAAGAAGAACTTGGTGTTCTTCAGCCGGAAGCCATGGACACCCAGGCCAAGCAGATGTCTGAGCACTTGCCCGAACTCGTGCCGCACCAGCGTCGAGTTCATCTTCAGATCATAGTTGCCCGACCCGAATTGGGAGAGCAGATAGCTGCCATCCTCCAGTTGGGCCCAGGCCGTTGAGTTGCCGCCCACCATTTTCCATTTGTTGGGCAACTCGGTAGCGCCCTCGATCCAAACAAAGGCGCCACGTTTCTCCTTATCGGCCAATGCATCGAGCAGCAGCTGCGAATTATTGTGCACATAGTTGGCCGTCAGATCAAGCACCACTTTCACATCCGATGATTTATAGAGATCGACTAGTTGCTGGATCTGTGCCTCCACATCGGGTTTCATTACATCGTAGGTTTGCGCGGCTGGCAACTCATAAATTGCACCCGATGCAAACAACTTCTGTGCGGCTTGCACATCTTCCTGCTTGGCAGTATCCACATTGCCGAACTTGGCGTGCAGGCCACGTTTGTACCACGGCAACGGTTGGGGGGCAGCACATTTCGGGGCACCCACAATGATCAGGATGGCGCCAACCAACATGGCCACCCAAATGGCCCAGAAGCCGACAAAGAAGATCCAACGCAAACGCACCCAGAACGGATCATTGGCATACTTCAGTAGCTCCTCCTTGCTCATCCCAGTGAAGGCCTGTTGTGAGAATATATATATTTACTCCATTCATATTATGTATATTCAATCTTATCACTTACAGGCTTGCCATTCAGATTACCAATGTCGATCTTGGCATCGCCATTCTGCTGATCACCCTTGATGAATTTGACCTCATCGCGTCGCTCGGCCAGCTTCTCATCGGCCGAGTTCGTGCCCACGCCCAACATTTCCTCATCGGCGCCATCGGTAAAATTCTCTTCCTTCACCATTTCCACGGATAAGACTGCTGATTAGAGTACGTAACAAAGAATACAGATTAGTTTAGATTGAATTTGTTCAAATACACTGTCAAAAATTGAGAGTACACTATATATATAATTTTGTCTTTGCCAGCTTGTGAAATAGGATACGTTAACAGAGTTAGATTGATAAATGGTTTAAATGGTTTTTTTCTTTTAACACATTAACAGTCGATGTGAAATATATTAGAGTTAATAACATTATGCAGAGATCCGATGTATACAATGTTAATGTTACATGGAATAAATCCGTAAGTTAACCGTCTGCTTAAATAAATTTGCAAAAACGTATGAAGTTAATTTTTAATTGATATTTGTTATATAATATAGTCGTTCGATTAGTCGTCTATTAATGCTGATATATAGATATAATTTAAAAGTCTGCCTAACGACAAAATTAAACTACCCACGGCCAAAGCAAGCGAAGGTATTTCTACAAAAAATTATCATTCATCAGCACCAATTGAGCTCAATGTGTATGTGTGTATCACATGTGTGTGTGGCTTTTATTCTCCCTTCTGAGAAAGATCGTCGCGTGCATTTCTCGTATTCGAGGTTAGGTGAAGCATTTTAATGGAATGTGAAAGAAAATGCCACACGCATATGTATTTCTTTAGCTACAATCAATCAAAGCCATTTAAAGCTAATTTTACTCATTTTATCTAGTCATTTAAATCCCTCTTCTATAAATACGATTTTTGCTGCATTTTTTTTATCATAGCATTGCTGACGTCACGCGCTTTACGCTTTGTTGCATTGAAACCAGATGTATTTTTTTTCTTGCCCATTATTTATATGGAAAATCAATAAGTGGAACACATTTTCTTTATCTTGGCGCAGTCTGTGATAAGGACACGAATACATACAAAGACACACACATACACAGATTAGCAGAATTTAGCATTAATTATGTTTTTCTTGGAAATGCAGAAATTTTCGAATTGTATTGCATCAGACAAATGTTAAATGTTGGCTTAACTAATTAAATACATACCTTCTTGAATATTTCTGCTATTTGTGGTTGGCAATCTTTCTTCGGCAATTACTTTATAAACTTCCGGTGTTTCGCCTTGCGCTTCTTCCGTTTGTGCGACAACTGTGCGATTTGATGAAAAAAAAAGAATTGCTCTTAATACATTTATGGGCTCTGTTGAAAATTTTAGCTAAAATAGCAGCGTCAACAACTTAACACAAGGTGAACTGTTATTAACAGTGGGCAGATAACATTTGCTCAAAAGCTATTTCAACAGTTTATTTTTCTGTTTACTTTCAATTATAGGTTACATAAAAAAAAGTATAATTAGTATTTAATTTAAACTTACCAGCAACTGTAATGGGCAGCGTGACCGAGGTCTGCAATAAAATGATTTATTAATAATAATCTCAAGCAATAATCGAATTGACTTTTGTTAGTGGCAGAATCAAATATGTTATGGCTACATTATGTTAGTTGGTGCAGAGTGTGGCAACGCTACTAAGGTTGGCGGTTAAATTTAAATCAACAATGACAATTATGTGAGTGTTTAAAACATAATTATGAGTGAAAGTGCTATAAAAAGTATTTGACTGTGATATACCCAGCATTTGACAGCGAATTATATAAATAGAAGTGACGTTAAAAATAACAATACTAATCAATAATAAATATAAATATTATATGTTGGTATTCCTTTTTTAAATAAAATATTTAACAAAAATATGATTTACCTTGTTAGCAGCTCCGATGCGTTTGAGACGCGATAGCAGATTCATCTTTGAACAAATTGCGCGCAGTTATTTAAATAATATTAGCTAAAAAGTATAAGCTCAAAATAATATATTAAAAAAAAAACAATTTAAAGTTTTTTATGGAATATGTAAATAAAGACACAGTTTGAATTAATTTTTCGATTTTAAGATAATTGTAATTTGGAACAAAAGTTGTTCCCTAGTTTTTCAACAATTTTCTTTGAACAGAAGTTGCTGCATTATAATTTCCTGGTATTAAATTTCACTTGCTTGAAAACACTTTTTTTTCTGTGCGTTTCTTTAACCGGTCGGTCAGTGTGGACTGAACTGGACTGAAGTGGACTGTCTACAGGCGGATCTCAATCAAAACTGAAACTGCAACTGGGCGCAGCCTGCCAACGAGGCTCCAACTCGCAACTCGCAACACCAGCTTGATTGTTGTTGGTGTTGTTGTTGCTGCTGCGAGTTTGATTTAATAACAATATACTGCCACAACGTTGCGAGAAGGCAAGTTTAAATTACAATTTATGTGCCAGCGGCTGTTGCCGGCCGCAGACAGACTAAAGCTGCGTATACCTGATCTCTGAGCCGCATCTTTTTAACTGGCCAACTTGGCCAATTTGAGTTTTTGTTCTTCGGCTGCTGCTTGGCCACACAAAAAACTGCACTCGCTGGCGCATTCCACGACCAAAAAGCGAAAAAGCAGACACCCAATAGCCAACAGCCAAGAGTTAACAACAGTTGAAGAAAACATTTGTCTGGGCACTTTCAAGTGCACTTGATTTTGCCACACTCAGAAAAAAAATTGGCCTACATTTTGCTAAATCGCATTAAAATTTAAATCTTTTAGAAATCATTTAGGAATAACTTCTAAATATCTGGAAAACATTTTTAAATTTAGAAAGACTTGCACTAAATCATATATTTTATTTTTTTTCGAAATATTTTCTGTTCTTAGAGACATCATTTCTAAAAAGTAGAAACGCAAACTACAATTTTTAGAATAAATGCTTTCAAAAATTTAGAAGCAAGTAATTAAATGTACTAGCTCAGATTTAATAATAAAATAAGTAATAAAAAATGGAATATACGAGTTCTTCGGGGAAAATTATACATATTTTTTCTAATTTTTACAAAAAATCCACCCTGAAATTTAAAAATAGTTTTAGAAAGTTTTATGTTATCCAAAGTTGCCGCGTGCAGCTCTCAATTTGCATTAGAAATACTGGAAATTGATCAATTTGGTGACATGCAAACCCAATTCGCAATTAGAGCTATCAAAACTCGTGCCTATAAATGGGCCGGCAAAAAGTGTTTTCTAAGCAGTTTGAACAGCAAAATGGGCATTCATTTGAGGCCTCTGTTGATATTTGCAGGATTTATTCTGGTCCTGCAGTTATGCCTTACGGTTGAGGCCAGGCCTAAGGTAAGTCCAGCCTCATCCACAACCTAGTCAAGAAAATATATATCAATTTGAATGCAGGAAAACGGCGATGGTGATGGCGGTGACGATGACGACGATTCCTCGTCGGAGGAGACCGTCGAGGATTCGGAGGAGGCGCAACGACGTCGTCGCGATGCCGGCGCCAACAATTCGATGGGAGAACGTGCTGGCATTCCGGGCCTGCCCGATCCCGCCACCATTATCAAGATAGCCCAACTCTTTCAGTCCGTCGGCGAGCAGATTGTCCCTATTCTCCTAGAGGCAGTGCTTCCGGGCAGCGATCCCGCCGGGGTGCGCTCCGTTCGCGATTTGCCGCTGCTCAAGAATCTTAGGCGCACTTTCGAAATGTATTCCGATGAGTTGCAGCTGAATGACAATTAATCCATCTATCGAATTAAACACATTGTGCACTTTATTCATATTTGTTTCAATGTTTTATTAGCCAATAGGAATATTTCTCCTAACTTCTGATAATGTGTTAAGAGGAAGGTGTAGGTAATTGAATTTTATCTCGTGATTGTTAGAAAAAAATACAAAACTGCATAAAAAGGCCAGGTAAAAGTCAGGTCAGTAACAACAAATAACAGGGAATATGCTAAAAATATATATATTTTTAAACATTCTAAACGTGGGCTGATCAACTCTATTTACTAAAGAGTATTTCAGAAATGCATAATAAATTGATAAGAGTCAGTTAGTTTTCTTAAAAAAACAATTAAATATTAACATTTTACAATTAAAAATAGAAGAAAAGTTTGGCATATTTGATAGTTTTATAGCGCTTCTAGACTAGAAGGTCTAACATAGAACACTAAAAAATGAATAAGTTTTGTTTTGAATAGTCCGACTCAATAGCCCGATGTTGATAATTTTAAGCTTAAGTATTAGGAGCACAAAAGAATTTGCAGTCAATGAGTTTTCTTAAAGTAACCAAATGATTTTCAGACGAAATCTAAATTTTTGACTACTTTATAATTGTAATAATCTTGTCCAAATTACAATTAACTCTTTACGTGTTTTTACAGAACAATTAATATTTAAAATACAAGGCATTATTATTATATTATTTATAGTGTTCCTTCAATATTGGGATTTTAAGTCAGTTTTTGTATAATTCGCATTCGTATTTTTCTCTATTGTAAGCTAAAGCAATTTAGAGCTTTACTCTCGTCGCATATTATAAATATATATTGATATATACATTACTTTTACTCCATATAATCTTATTTTATGGCATATTGGCTCTAATGTTTCAAAAATCGTTTGAATTTTTAGGGAACCTTTTAAAAATATTTATTGCATTTTCAAAATAATTCAAAATGTCTGATTTAAAAACGCCTGAAAGTATGCAATACAAATAACTGTTATAAATGCATTCGATTTGTCCTAAAGTCCCGCAATACTGCGCTTTGCTTCGCTTGCACTTATTCTTAACGACAGAGGGCGCTGCAGCAACATTAGACCTTATCAAATAAGACGATGTTAAATTAATTGTATTTATTCATTCATTACATTTTGGATTAAAACTTTTTTTGTTAGAAATATAACAGTTGACGTTAGAAAATAAATATATTTTTTAAATTCAAATTTATATTTGAATTCAATAATTTCTATAGACAAATTGCATATTCAATTTATAATATACAAATAATATCTAAAAAAAAAATGTATAAACGAATATTTAAAAAAATTTTAATTCTTTACTATCTGAAAGCGATTCTAACTTCTTGACAATGTATATCTGAGAAAAATTGCAATACGAACTAGAAAATATGAACATATCATGTTGTTTATTTAATTTAAAAATTAGCATACAAAAATAAAGTATTTTTTCAGTGCAGTCTAATTGGCAAATATAAATAATTTGCAATTCAAAGTGTGACTAATTAGTAAGCATTGGTTTTGAAGCAAATATATAGAGTAATACATTGTTTTTGATTTTTCTAATTAGCAACTATTTCCGTGAATTGTATATTTTTAAATAAATAAAATTATTATTTAAATTGATTTGTATTTGCGACCCTTTGTTCCAATATAACAATAAAGATAGAAAATTGTATCACTTCTTAAAAAGTATTTTTTCTAAAAATAAGTGTTTATATTTCTACCTTTTATTTATTATTAACTGAAAACATTTCAAGTATGGACAATTTGAGGTTTCAGAAGCTTTATTCCTGAAAACTTAGACTTGCTTTAAATAGCTGTTCTATTTTGATGATAGCAGAGAGAACAAAGATTAATTAAAAATTATATTGGTAAAGAGCAGCTTAAGGTGCAGAGAATTCCAATATATTTTTCTATGCTGATTAAATAAATCGAAAAGCAACTCAATTTAAATTCTGCAGCTCTAAACTGAAACGACAAAGGGTGCATATTGGTAAAAAGAGTGCACAGATCTCAGTCTCGCTGGCGCCTTTTGCGTGGGCTGATGCTGTCTGTCTGACTGTTTGTCTCTCTGCCAACATGTGCTGCTGCTGCAGCAGCAGCAACAACCAAACTGACAGCATGCAACTGGCCATGAGGCAACTGCAATTGCCAACTGAAACTGGCAACTGTCGTCGACAGTGTCTTAAGTGAATTGTTGTGTTGACAAAAAGGAGGGCAACACCAAAGAGGAAGGCACTCACACACATACACACACACACACACAGACACATACACACACATGATGAGTGCAAAGAGGGGAGTAAAGTAAAGTAAAGTGAAGTAAAGTAAAAGTTAATTTGCGCTCGGATGCTTGTGTTGGGCACTCAAGTATTTAAACATTTGCTCCGCTTGTAATTTGAGCAGCATACTTGAGCATTACGAGTATCTATTCATATTGATGTGCAAATGTGTGTGTGTGTGTGTGAGTGCGGTTGTCTGTGTGTGTGTGTGCACTAGAAACAGCTATATTCACATCCTGTCCTGTGCAGACGGAATCCAATGTCGGAGTCAAAGCATTCCTGGCACGTTGAAATCTTGTTATTTGTATCTTTAAGTTACTTTTGCTGTTTCTCGTTGCGTGGCACGTTAAAGGCTCTTTTATATATTGTATAAACAATTTCGTGACTTTGTTGTTGTTGTTGGTGTTGTTGATTTTTCTTCTTTTTTCTTCTTTCACATTTTGTTTGGGCATCGTCGTTCGACATACGTAATGGCTGTGTCACCTGCCACCTGCCACCTGCCACCTGCCTCCTCAACTGCTCAACTGCTTAACTCTTCAGGCCGACTAAGCGAGTGAGTAACTTGTGTGTTGCAGTTAGCCGAGTTTGCTCAAAATGGCTAAGCAAATAGCATACAATGTATATGCAGTCAACTGTTCGAAGTTCACTACTAATTTGTGTGTGCTTTTGAGCTGTAACGCTTTTTATTTTCATTTTTTTTTACAATCTAGTGCCAAGTGGCGAAACTTCCTCACTTGCAGCAGCAGCAGCAGCACACCAGCCTAAGATAACACAGATCGGCATCATTGGCATCTGTAAATACACAGCAATAAGCTGAACAACTGAACAACCGAACAACAATCCAACATGCAAAGAGAAATAATAAAATTGAAGAAAAAATAAAAAAAAAGGCAACAGACTTCGCACCAATGCTCGAGTGTTTTCTCTATAAACAGAAAAACTTAATGATGTTGATTTAGTAGAACAGCCAAAGCAACTCGGCCTCCTCTCTCCTCTCTCCTCTCTCACATTCCCTCTCTTTCGCCATTATGGCATGTCTCATAATATGTTTGCCACAATGTATTTCACTCGTTGCGCTGAACACTTTGAAAACTTTTGCGTACTAACCAATCCCAATCCCTGTGCCAGACATAGTTGCAGCAGTCTCGTCAGTCAACATGATTTGCAACTTATACAAATTCATTCAGCCTCAACAAAGACAACGACAACGACGATGAGAATGAGGACGAGGACGAGGATGAGGAGTACGACCGAAGACACCAAGACCACGACCAAGACCACGACCACGACTTGGCCCGAGTTCTGGCCCGCATGTCTGCTTCATTAACACGCCTTTAGAGCGCTGACTATACACTATCATTTGAGCCTGTACTCTTTTTTTGATTAAAGACAATTCTAAAACCAATTCCAATGTACACAAATATTTATATTTATGGAATTGATAAACTTTGAAATATGTTTTTTGCTATATATAAAAACCAAACAATAAAATGATGTTTTATTTATTTTTTGATATTAACTCTAAAACATTTACATACAAAGAATTTCAGCTCAAATAGCATAGTTATGAGCTAGTTTTAGTTTTCTTTTTTAGTGGATATTTAGTTTAGAGCATTTCATAGTCACTGCAAGAGCAGCAACTTGCCTTTCACAGTGTGTTGTGAATTTTACAGAGTCGAGGTGTAAATTGCTCTGCCGTTTTTAGTGTTTGCCTTACTACTCTGTCTCCGTCCGTCTTTTCTGCTGTCTGTCTGTCTGTCTGTCAACCACACAACACATTGGTGAGCAGGCAATAACCGCATTCACAATTAGTTGGCCTGCACTAAAATATGATTAGAAGTCGTTGCTGAACTTTGTCTACGCAGCACACATAAAAACTAAATAAAACAAAAGAAATTGACGGCACACTCATACAGTATGCCTTCGGGGGCCACTTCTTGGCCAAAGACAAACTGCGCTAATTAGATTGCCGGCGGTGCTGAAAAGATATCCCCAAGTGGCTGAAGAAGAACCAAGGCGTTGGCCAAGCCTAAGAAATCGATGCAAGGCGTGAGATAATGCAGCAGACTCTCTCTCTCTCTCTCTCTCTCTCACACTCTCCTTGCCTGTCTCTCTCTACATTGTAATGCAAAATGCCGAGCAGTATTAGAAAAGAGGGCGAGTGGATGGGAAGGAGAGAGCCTGCCAAATGAATGAATCCATTTTGAATGGAAGGCAGGCAAAGTTGTGAAACTACTTAGTCAAGAAATTGCCTGCAGGGCACGTCCTTCACCCAGCGAATGTTGTCAGCGGCTTGGAAATAATTTGCGCTTCAATGGCAAACCACAGCCCAGTTTCAGTGACTGGGTTTGGCTCACTGCTCTGCTCTGCTCTGTTCTGGTCTGTTCTTCATCTGCTCTTCATCTGTTCTGGCGCACACCCTTTCAAAGAAATGCCATCAGCTGCATATTGCAGTTTAAAAAGCTTTTTGTGCCAGGAAGTTTGCTACCTTTTGTTGACTGCCACGCCAGTCCAGGCAGCCCTGGCAGCCCAGGCAGCCCAGGCAGCCCAGGCAGCCCAGTGCAACTGACATTAGTCGTGTAATAAGTAGACAGCCCTCAGTGACACATGTTTCCTTCCATGCCATGCAGCCAGGCCAAGCCGAACCAAGCCAAACCAGACCGAACCAAACCAAACCAAACCAAAACCAAAACCAAAAGCAAGGCAGCCCCAAGCAAAATGCCAAGCCCAAGATCCTACTACAAGTCCGTGCCTGTCTGCATTTGACTGCTAAACTTTTTGCTTGCCATGCAAGACACGTTGACAAAAGACGACAACGACAACGACAACGACAACAAGAACAACAACGACAAAAGTCGACAACGTTGCCAGTAACATAGACATAGACGAATTTATGCTAATCAGCTCGGATGCCTGCCCGGGCATGGACTGGGCATGGTGCAGAGTACGAGGGTCACTTTGTCAAACTACAAACTTGAATATTAAATTTGAGTGTTTCCCCTTAAAATTTGAAATCGTTGTGTGTGTTTTTGAGCTTGAGCTTTTCTCTCTACTCTTCAGTTTAACAAACTTGTTCATAAGATTATTTATTACTTATTTGAACCACCATCATTTGAATCTTAGGCCAGACTCTTAAATAGATAACATTCTAAATCATCGTGTTGATCTTTGCGCCTTGCAGAAATCTACTTTTTGTCTTAAATTATTGAATAAGTGTGCTAAAAATGAAAGAGAAATTCTCAAGAATAAATAAATATTTAATTAATAATTTTTTGAGTAAATCTAGTTTTAGATACATCCATTTTTCTATGCAATATATCTTCTTTCAAGTATTAAATAAGGGAGCTAAAGAACATTAAATGTTTTGATTCCAGCGATGATTTTTTGCTTTTGAGTACATTTTTAAATTTGAAAGGTCTATCTATATTCTCATCTGTTGAAACTCTTGAATATAATAAAAAAATATATATATTTTAGATGCAACTTTTAGACGACTGCTTCTTAAAACTTTACTTGAGTTTTCTGCTCGATTTTTCTTGAAAACTAAAGTTTTGCAAATCTGGCCTGCATTTCGATACAATTCCAATATTTTTTTATTATATTCAGAATGTTTTCTGGAATACAATGCTATATATGTAGTAATATTAATCTGGCCAAAGTTGAGTTTGTTTGAGTCGCCCTCGTATGTGAAATGCTGTCCAATTTGTTTGTTGATATTGGCTTCTAGCAAATTATAATGAGACCAAGCTATTCTTTTGGGTTTAAGGGCAGTCATGTGCGTGTGTGCGTGTGGGTGTATGTGTGTGTGTGTGTGTGTGTCTGTTTGTGTGTAAATGTCCTGGTAACTGTTATAGTTGCCAGGCAGCGTTGACTGAAATCCTCTCAGTGCGCACACTTCACGCACCAATTAAGTTCAATTTTCGATACAAATGGAAAAACGCGATGAGCCTTTTTACAGATAACCAAAAGCGGGGTGGTGGTCCGTGAATAAGAGGGGTGGGCGGGGTGGAGTGGGGTTAGGGTTAGGGTTAGGGTTTGGGGTTGGTTGCCACGCATTGGAATTGACATCATTTGCCGTTAAAGAGCCAGCAATTGCGACGAGGGTTGTGCATAGAATTACGTGAACGTGTGTGCGACGATTCGGATGCGAATTCGCATCGGATTCAAGATTGAAAATTGTGTGGAGGGGGCAGTGTGGCGCGGGGAATGTGTGGAAATGGAAATGGGCTCAAGTGGCAGCAGGCGGCATTATAAGCACATTAAATTCTAAAGGCGCAATCGAAGCATGCCTGAAATGATGAAAACCCCGTGCGTTCGCTCCAAGTGCTTCTTATGCGATATTTCGAAATTTGCGCATGTAGTCGTATTATTAATATTATTGAATATCATTAGCAAATCCAGCAACATACCAAACACACAACACAACAGCTGCACGGTGAACGTGAAGGGTGACTCCAAAACAAAAGCAACAACAAATGCAATAAATAACTAACTGGGGGTCGCTGCTTTATGAACTGTTCGCCGCACTCTTTAAAAACTCCAAAGTCAAAGTCATGTCGACGAAAAAAATTAAAAAGAAGTAATAGCCGAACACGATATACGCTACTGATATATAAAAATAGTTTTTTTTTTTTAATTTAATTTATATATATGAAATTATACAATTATGAAACATAAAAAAATAATTTATGAAGTTAAAAAATCCACAAATAATTTACTTAATTTAAAATTGATAAAGATAAATAATTTGTGTTAACTATTTAATTTTGTGAATACATAGGAATTTGAGATTCATTTATAATTTATGAATTTGGGATTCTTTATTAAAATGATATGGTCTTGTAATTTATTAAAACTAAAACTGAAACCACTTTGGATTGTTTTTTATATGCATTTATATTTTGTATAATTTTGTAACATTTATTGATTTTTTACTTATTTAAAAATTGACAATTATAAATAATTTATGTAATCATTGTAATTTTAAGTACTTTGAAACTTCATTAATATAAAATAAGATATTTTCTCGGGTCAAATGTGGTTCACAAATGTATTAAACTCACTACAAGGGTATGCAGGAGAACCATTGAACTAAGCTGTACTGTGCACAGAACATTATCAGCGTACCAAAAGCCAGCAATTTTTCTGCGTTTAGTGGTTTAATTTTTATGTTGCAATTTTTATGGCATTTCGCTGAGACCGAAGACTTTCGTCCCCATATGCCGTTTGAATAGAGGTTGGGCTTTTAAGTGCGGCCTGGCACAATGTGGTTTCTTTTATGGGCTGCTGGGGCTCCGTTTTATGTATTTTCATCTTTTGAGTGCGCAAGTCGTTTGCTGTGTGCCTTTGAGAGTTGAGCCAAACAGCATCTTTTACTTACATAAGTACTTGGGCCTTTGTCACATTTGTCGTCTGCATTCGCCTTAATTGCTACATTTTGCATTTTTAGTAGAAAACATTTGTGTTTCTTTGCCTTCTGTTAAAGGGCATGCTCTCCTTGCCAAGATTTCGAAGAATATCCAAACATTGTTTTAGATGAGTGTCTCAGATATGAGTACCACATACAGAAATGCTATTTCAAATCTAAAATGTATATTTTATACATACAAACATATCTAAATATTCAATTACTATTTTCTGGATTTCAGAAAGCATTTTTATTGCTATTCTACTTTTTAAACAATTTTCTGTTGTTGAAGAGTATATTTTTTCATAGTAGAACCGAAGCCTTTATAATTCTTAATAATGGTAGATGGGAACAACATTATTAAATATATTCATAACACATTCGGCCGAATCTGATTATTTGTTTTAATAGTTAAAAGTACACATATCACTTGAATTTCGGACAAATGTGCGAGGTTCTAAGAAATTGTGGCAAATCTATTTAGAATTCGATCGATTCGAGATCCGTTTCAATTAAGTCAGAAGAAAAATGGCTATTTCAGCTTAGCGTGTTGATGTCTTTTTGGCAATATGTAGGCGTGCATGTAGAAGTTGGTAAACATAGTAAACATGGTAGCTGACGAGCCTAGAACTGTGTAGGCTAATACCCGAGATACTTCACAACCGGGCTGCATTAGTGTCCAAATGCTGTGCACAAAGATAATCACAAACTGCAGCATTTGCAGCATGGTAATGTACTGCTTCCACCAGAGTCTCCTCTTGATGGCCGGTATCTGCGATGAGATATAGTAGTAGCTATACATCACAACGTGTACGAAGAGATTGAGAAGGCCCGTGATAATTGGATGGCCTCCATAGCCATTGAACCGTATCACAAAGTAACCCGTTATGGGCATATACAAATGATGGATCAGATGCAGCGACGATATCTGCTTATAGCTTTTGCGGAGCACTATGAAAATGGTGTCCAATAAATCGATATACTTGTTGATATAGTACGCATAAGACATCAGACGCTCGATGTTCTTCAAGGGATGCTCCTCGGGCATTATAGCTAGACAGCTGAGTTGATGCGGACTCACCACAAGCAGATAGTAAATCCCCTGCAACTGTTGTATAGTATTCAATAGATATATCTCTGATCTCACTTACCGCTGTGAAAGTCACACCGTTGTACACGATTTGTATGAGATTGTACACCTTGAGTACGGCTCGCAGATCAAAGGGTTCCCGAAAGGCCATCCACTGGCGTCCTAGCTTCAGTACAAAGAGTAAATAGGTAAAAACTATAATGAACATGGGCCAAGGACTCGAGGAGAGAAACAGCCGAGTGGGATCGGCCGGCGGTCTCTCAAATATTTCAAACATATCGAGTTTTGTGTGTTTTTCCAGAATAGCAACAATATATATAAATATAAATATAAATATTATTCCATCTGCAAATGGAAATGGGCTAGGGACAGATTCTGTGTTTTTTTTTTTTTTTGTGCGAAATTTAAAATAAGTTTTTGACGTTGACGTCTAAGCCTTTGCCCACTTTGTTCTCGTCAATACTATAAACCCAAAAAAAAACATTTAAATACATTTCCACAAAGCAACTTTTATTGAACTAAAATCTCTATTCTATGTGTAAAAGATTTTCCTAGACAGTGTAGTCAATAATTAATTAATTTAATTGCTAAAATATATATGAATAATGTATTTCATATGTTGTACCAAATATTGCAAACATTTAAGCAATCCATGGAGGGGGGGAGAGGGAGAGACATCGTTCTCGCTATAGGAATAAGTTCTGCATTAACATTAACAAAAGGTTTAATTAACGATCGACTATTGCTTTTGGTTATTTTCGGACATCGATTTTCTTTTTCTTGGCCAGTACGTAAGCATGAATGTAGAAGTTGGTAAACATGGTTTCATTAATAGTGAAGCACATAGAACCGCGTAGATGACGGGACGAGATGTTTTGCAATTGGGCTGAGTTAGAGTCAATAAGCTGTGCAAAGTAATAAGCACGAACTGAATTAGCTGAATGACGGTTACGTACTGCTTCCACCAGAGACTCCTCTTGATGGACTCACTCTGCGACGAAAGGTAGTAGTAGGTGTACATAATGATATGTACGATTACGTTTAATATGCCCGTCACAAGGAGGTGGCCCCCATAGCCGTAGAATCGTGTCATCACATAGCCAAGCGACGGCATAAATACGTGATGGATGAGATGAAGCTGCGTCACCTGCTTGTAGCTCTTTCGCAGCACAAAGAAGACAGTGTCCACCAGATCGAGTATCTTATTAAGATAGTAGAGGTAGGCTAATGCTCGTTCTGCGAACATGTACTTGTGATCCGAGGGCAGTGGAGCGAGGCAGAACAGCTTGTAGCTCTGCGCGTTGGTTGTTAAATATATAGCCTGTTTAATATATATGTGGTGTCATTAGTGTTCCCATTTGCGTAATACGTACTTACAATCATGACGAGTACAATGTTGTAAGCTATTTGCACTAGATTGTAGATCTTCATTAGTCCCCGTAATTTGTAGGGTTCCCGTTTTGCCATGAACTGTGGGCCCAGTTTCAGCACGAACAGCAAATAGGAAACCATAATAATACTAATGGGCACAGGACTTCTTAGAAGAGGTAGCTGGACGTCAGGATGTGCGTCCGGTAGATCGAATATCGTCATCATAATGTGAGCTCCGCCTAAAGAACCGATTTCAACTTTGTCCGACTTGCGAATGCGACTAAAAAATACATAGGTAAAATACCTAGACACATATATGTATTACCTTTTGGTAATGTAATGAATAAAAGATCCACGCAATTAAGTCGGGTGCACTTAAGGTGAAAAGTAAGCGCGCTCTAGTCGAGAGTGCTCGACTACGAAATATCCTAAGTCCAAGTCTTTAGAGACTTAAATTCAAAATAGTCGCTTTTATTGCTATCGGAAATCGATTTCGATGTAAATACGAAAACACGTATTCCAAAACTTGAATTTTAGCAGCGCTTTAAAACCGTTTTTTACATTTTCCGAGCTGCAACTGCAATTCGAAAACACGTCGAACAAGTCATTTGCTTTGAGCGTAATGAATAAAAGATCTATAAAATGAACTCATAAGGTGACAAGTAACATAAAGTCGAGCATTCTCGACTAGGAGATTCCCTAATCCCAAGTTCTCATCTATTATAAGTCTGAGATGCATGCGAAAATTTGTATTCCATATTCTGTAGTCCTAAAGCATCAAAATAGGAGAGAAAACAAGGATTATTTTGTTTTAATTAAGTTACCTTTTATGATCTGATATCGAAGGTATAAGAGAATATTTTGCTGTTTTTTGTTTTTGTAATTTCCCTTTTTTGATAACTTTATAGATACTCTCTGAACTCTTCTTATGTTTTCTATTCACATAATTTTTTATTTTTCCACGCAAATAGTATTTACTTTTATTAAGACGTCTGATAGCAACATTTTTAGGTTTTCACTCAACTGAAAAAGATGCTCTCGAACTGATTACTGAACTGATTCAATGGATAACTTCATAAGTTGCTGGCTAGGGACATTTTATGGTGCTTCCCAGCATTTGGCCATGAATGCCTAATTAGCAGGGACGCATAAAGAAAAGTGCCGAATCATGATTTTTGCATAATTTTCAAAGAGCTTTTTTCATGGCTTCCCATCCGGCGACCACAATGGAAAGCCAGGCTGCCTTCCAACCCTAAATAAAACAATAACAGCAACAAAAAATCGACTTGAATGAAAGTGCCTCGCTTTTGATAAGCGCCAACCCTCCGCAATCCGAAAGTCAACCTTAGTGAAACCTTTGAGCCTATTTTTTATCGTCTCTTGGCGGTCGTCTATCAGTGAGACGAAACATGGCATAATTATTAATAGAGTGAACCAAATTGCAATCCGTATTTCGAGCAACAGAATTTAACGAAAAAAATTAATTTATGACACGCCGCACATTTTCCCTTTTGCCCACACTGAAAACGTGCGATGATTTTTATCAGTTTTCCCATTTCCACCGTTTTCATTCTATGTACATACGTATTATTTTTAATCCATTAAACAAATGCCATGTTGCACGAGCAACGCCTGTCGTTGTCTATCTGTGTGTGTGTGTGTGTCTGTGAGTGTGTTCGTTATCAGTAAATGGGCAAAAGGGTCTTTGATTTGGCAGCCAGCCACACAATGAGCCCGTCTCTCGGAACCAGGTCCCCGTTTCTGTTTCTACACTCGGGGTAGAAAGCAACGCCTCCAATCTGATTCTGTATGTTACTGTGTGTGTGTGTGTGTTTGTGTGTGTGTGTGTTTGTCATGCAATCAGAGAGTTTTCCCCTGCTTTCCCAGACATTGTGTGTTCACGCTGAGTTATCATGCATAAAGAAATTTTATCTGAGACCGAAAGCATAAGAAGACAATTTAATGGCATTGGCCGTAATCATTAATATCTTGACATCAGACACAAGTATTGATCAATTCTCAGATTCGTTTCAATTCGATTGTGTGTGTGTGTTTGTGTGTGTGTGTGGGTTGGACTCCAGGTGCATTCAATTGTCTGGTTTCGCATCGGTTTTCATAACTCGCTTTTCATGCGATGAATTATATTCAGTGGGCTGCCTTCTTTATTCGTTTTAGCTTGTGCCGATTTGACTGACCATCAAAGCCAGTTGGTCATTGAGTCCTTAAAGCTCAGTCGCTGCTATTCACACGGCTTACAGCTCAATGAGCAAAGAGCTCTTAAAATAAGTACAAACACTGGCTCCCCCAAACCGCTTTGCCCCCTCCTTTCTATCTCTCTCACGCTATTTCTTGCTATGTTGGCCTAACAGAAAAGCGCCAAAGCAGAAGTAATAAGAATGCTCTAGAAGAAAATAACCGACAAACAGATACCCTATAGCTGCATCTAAAGTTTGTAACAACTCAAAAATCACTTGAAAACATTTATCCAATAATTCTTCGCCTGTTCAAAATTGTGATTGGCTGCAAGCAAAATATTCCTTGGTTCATTCGATTTGTTTTTCAATTTATACATAATAAAATATATATTTTCTTTTGCGGAAAATATTAATAACTAATATTTTTGTAATTAATATTACAATTTCGTGTAATTTTATTAAGTAGTTATATTAGTTAGTAGTAGTTGTATTAACCATTTGATTCATTCTGTTTGTTAGTGGGTATAAAAAGCGAACAAAGCAATTTACTGGAATTACAAGAGCGTCTCTAATTGTTAAGTACGCGTAATGTGTGTAACATATGGCCAAGAGAGCGACTCTGAGTCTGACTCTGAGTCAGTATCTGATGGTGAGTCCCTTGGCCATAATGCGGTCATATCGCTGTAGGGCTGTGCATGTGAAATTAAAATGAGGATGAATGGCAGGGGGATAAGCGCAAGTAAATTGGCAAAGCGCTGGAAAATACAAAAAAAAAATAAACCAAATGAAAATAAAAGAAAAAGCAACAGCAGCAGCAGCAAATATGTCAGCCATGAAGAAGTGCTTACAAAAATATTTTATTGTGCATGTGGCGGAGTCAACAAACTAAGTTCATCATTGGGTTGCATGAGAACTGACAACCCAACGAATGGGGGAGCAAAATCAGCAGATGACTAACTGATTACAGCTGGGGATAAAATGAAATGAAAACTGAGCGATTTAAACTTTGCCATCTTGTCTAGGCCTTGAAAAAAAAAACTGCACTCAACTGCTGCCTAATTAAGTAAGACATTTATTTAAATGACTGCAGTTCTTTGGAGTTTGTTGCAAGCAAGCATTAAATAGAATATAATTGTAGACATAATTCATAAATTTATGCTAATCAGACATTAATTACTATCCTAATTTCAAATCAAGTTGACTTCTATATAAAATGTATAACTTTTTGATATTTTAAACTATTTAACACAAATTACGAAAGAAAATTATTCAGAGCAGCTGCTTAAAATTCTCAAATGAAATTGACCCAATTCCAATATAGTTGTCAATATAATAGAAGACAGCTAGACTTTAAACTTTAGATTTAGATTTGATTATTCCAAAGCATGAGAAAGTAATATTTTTTCTGTCAGTTTCAAATTGAAACTAGCTTCAATAAGTAAATAACAAAAGTAAAAATATTTCCTTGATATTATAATAATAGTCCTACTCTTTCTGAAGTTCTAATGAACAATGAGCAATAAGAACGATCGTAATTATGTCAACTCAACAGCTGTGCTCACATCCCAAAGACTGAACTCCATTGGTGCCACCAGCACCACTCAAGAGCCGCATCGAAAGAAGCAAGCACCACACAAGTATCCATATTACTATCATGGCCATTTGGGCCGTTCCCATTGGCGCTTTTGTGTGCCCATCAGTCCGTATGGCTGGTATCGTGTCCTAGTTTTCAGTCAGTACAGCGGCTACACTGTCAGCCAGGTGCTGGAGAAGCTGCGTCTGGCTGTGGCACCCCGCAAGCTGCGTTTCTACTATCTGCACGTGGGCGGCGAACAGGATGTGGAGCGAGATAGGCGCGCCACATTCACCTTCTATGTGAATAGCTATGAGCTGGCCGCCGAGCTGCAGTTTCGAGGACATTGTCCACCAGTTGTGGGGCTGCGCGTCAATGATAGACCGCCCATGATTCGGGTGGATGAGGCATATAAATGGAAGCTGCGCACGGTCATCATGTCGCGCTACGATGAACGGAGACGTTGCCTCAATCTGAGACGCTTCTATGCGGACGATTACTGGAAGCAGGGCGAGTTTTGTGCATTGCAGCAATTCGAGTGCCTCGCGGCGATCATCGATATCATGGAGCAGGAGTTGCCCGAGCTGCGTCGCCTTCTGCTCGACAACAATCACCTGTGCCACCTGGGGGGCTTTCGCGGCGTCGAGCAGCGTCTGCCACGTCTCAACTGCATCTCGTTGCAGCAGAACGAATTGAAAACGTTGCGACCGTTGCGTGTCTTCCAGCGCCTGCGGCTCACCGAGCTGACTGTGCACAGGAATCCTCTGCCGCGCAACTATGAGAGACAGCTGGTGCTCATGTTCCCCCAACTGCACACCCTCAACGGACGCTCCGTGCGATGTGGCTCGCCGGTTGTGGTCAGTGTCAGCGATAGCGACGACGACAGCGATGTGGAACTCGTTTCGATCACCGAATACAAGCCGCCCATCATGCCCGAGCCAAGGGTCACCTACCTCGCCCCCCATTCCCTGCCCATGCAGCTGGGCACTCGAAAATTTGTGAGACGCTATCTCAAAGCCTTCGATAGTGTGAGGAGGACAGACCATCTGCAGCGATTCTATCACGAGAACATCCTAGCCTCAATCACTCTCGCCAAGGATAATGCTGTGCTGGGCGCCTGGTAAGTAATTCAACTTATAATTCTAAATGTTTACATTTATATTACATATATTTATGCATATTATGATTAGTATTAACTTTTTTGTCTGCTTATCTGCTCTAATTGAAAATATTCTATACTTAAATAGTTTCGAAATCTATATAGAAATATTGAAATCTAGAAGAATATTTAGATTCTTAGAAATAATTTCTTAAAATATGAAAAAAGTATTCGATTATGTCTAGAAAAGAAAAGAAAGTATAATAAGTTAAGTTACCCCTGTTCTTAAATTCAGGTATATTTGTTATCTGAGTGTTCAAAAAGATATCTATATTAAAAATTAAATCGATTCTAAGTTGACTCTCTATTCTTGTTAAGTGCTAGCAAAGACTAAAGAGATACTTTCTATTACCTTTTAATATTTGTTCAATCATAAAATATGTTTTCCATTTTGTGTGCCACAGGACCGCTCCGTATGCAGCCTATGGCCGGCAACTGTTAGCTTGCCGCAGTGCAGTGCTGGCAATGTTTGCCGCATGGCCAACAACTTTGCATTTGCCGTCAACGATGACGCTGGATCTGACGCTGGTGCAGCCGCTGAAGCTGTGCGTCTCGATAACTGGTAGCTTCGAGGAGAATGGATCGTCTACAGAGGTGCGATACTATATGCGTACCTTTGTGCTGACGCGTAGCATGGAAACTGCTCACTTTCGCATTGCCAACGAGCTGATCTATTTGGCTCGAGCTGGACAGAGGCAGGCACCTGCACTCAATCCGGAGCAGTGTAATTTGATGACCATGCTGTCGGCGGAAACGAGCCTCAAGTCGCGTTGGTGCCGTAAATTCCTCAAGGATACCAATTGGGACTATCAGCAGGCACTGCTCGCGTTCCAGACACTCCTCCGGCGCCGCCAGATACACGAGAACGCATTCGAGAGTGAAACCCAGCCCGAGGATGGCCCATAACACCAATGCCGTACAGTATTCCCAATGTGCCCGCAGGGAAATTGAAAATTCCACTGATTATGCTGATTACATTTTATTTGAATTTGAGCTGTGAAATGAAAATAAAATGTGAGGGTATCAATTGTCCCATTGACCATGTGAATGAGGCCAACTACCAATCACAAAAAAAAAAATCATTATTTATTATCTACGATTTCCAAATCACTTTTTGACAGTATCATTCTAGTCACATTTTTTTTGTAATTACTCATAAAATCGTGAACGTAACACAACTTTACGTAGTAAACATTTCCTAACATCAATTTCGTGATCGATTTTGCTATTTCACAACTGTCAATTTTATGGAACCAGTCTGAATCACCTATTTGTTACAGGCAAGACTTATATAAGCGTATATCGGGCTACGAGTCTAAAAACTTCAAGACCTTGGCTTGAAGAAAACCTAAATGACCATAAATAACAATTATAACTATTACTATTTATTATCGAGAAAATATTGAATTTGAATTTATATATTTTATTTGTATTGTAAAAATTGGAATTAAATATTAAGATATAATTTTCGAAAGCCCTATGAATTAATATACAGAAATAATTGAATATAAAATATAAATTTTGGTTTGCAAATCTAAAAATAAGGCCATTCATTTTAGCTATTATTGTATATATAGTATAATTGCTTAAAATCGAAATATAGAACTTAAATATTAGAAATTGTTGTAGCTCAATTTGTAGTCTGCTTAAATTTCACTTATATTTCGGTTAAGTTTTAATAAATGATTTTTTTGTAAGGGTGTTTAGACTTCAGTACCACAAAAGTAAAACTCAATTTCTTGTTTTATTTACCTTCCATCCGTCCCTGCCCCCGACCCAGTAGCTCAGTCATTCTAAAGTCAAAGTCGAACCCTCGGCTCGGCTCAACATCGGGCATTTAACTTGTCGTTAGGGTGAATTTATAAGCAGCTTCGGCCAACGGGGGATGGGCCGTTTGGCCATTCATCCCGGCTTTGGTCTTTGGTCTACACCCTGCCCACACTAGGGCATGGCCTGGCCTGACTTGGCTTGGCTTGGCCACGCTTTATTATCTGCCCCTCTTTTTCTGGTTTTTGTTTTGTTTTGCTGGGCGACGACGTCGACTGCATTTCATTGAGCGTAATTCCGTTGCTAATGATTTTTGGCACACGTAGCGCTACTTTCGAAATTAATGCCGCTATAAAACAGCAGCGGCAACAAAAACAACGCCGACGACAACTGCAGCGACACTGAGAAATGGGCTCTCAGAGGAAAGGAAATTGCCTTGACAGGCAGGCGGGCAGGCAGGCAGGCAGGCAGTCCGGTGGGTGAGAACCTGCTCTATGGGTGGGGTGAACGGGGGGACGACGTGCGAGAGAGTTGCTGTTCGAATTTAATGAAACTTTCTGTTCGAATTGTATTTTTCACAGCTTGACGACGATGTGCGGACTTTAGCTGGGGGTGAGCAGGGAGTATTTGAAAGGGAGCGCGAGTCCAACCAGGAAGTGCGCCACGCTTACCGCATAGCCGTTGATAACGCAAAGTCCACCTCATGTGTTTTCGTGTCAGAGTTTGCGGTTTTGCTTTTCCTGTCTGCCACTGTCGCTGTCTCTCTCTCGCATTGTATAAATTTCCATATTAATTTGTACGGCCTATGGCTGATTATTAGGCATCGTCGTCATCATCCTCGTCATCATCGTCATCGTCGTCATCGTTTGCGGTTGCGTAGCAGCCGAGTGTTTTACAGAATAATCTAAATCGGCATTATTTATGTATTCAGCTCGCATTCGGCACGCAGATGCCGCATGTTGAGCACTCAAATCGCCATACCCCCTTCTACTTCATGCTTACTTTCAGTTCGAAAAGAGAAAAAAAATAAAAGTAAAAATCAAGCACAAATACATATTAATTTTGATACACAAATATATGTGTGTATATATGCAGATGCGAGCTCATATGTAAAATAAAAACGGATCAATTCGTTTGAATTGTTTTGCTTTTGTTTGTGCTCAGTTCCAAATTCAGTTCGATATCCCTTTGAAGAAAACCTCTGTAGCCTTTAAATATTACAAATAACACTTCTACTAATCGATAAGTGGGCCATTTGAAAAGCTTTTCAAAATTGGGTGCTATTGACAAAAATACAGAAAAGAAAGAAACACTTAAATGCAATTTGACTTGATGGGACATAAAGTTATTTTCTAAACTAATTTAATTTAAAATAACACACTAAATATATAAAGCAAATGAATATGTATGTGTGAGAGTGTCAATTAATGCTCGTATTGTTGGCTGCCTTTTATATTTTTTTAATTCCCCTGACAAACTTATTAAAAACACCGCCGTCAGCATATTTGATAATAAAATACTTGACACCATCGGCAGAACTAAGCCCCATGCAGCGTGCCACACTAATACCATAGGCCAGATGCGAGAGTCGGATGCCCAATTGGTCTCCCACGAGCCCCATAAAACACGCCACAGACAGTGGCAGACAACTCACACACACACACACAGAAACATTTGGAAACACTATTCTCTGTCTAACTCAGAACAGAGCAGAATGGAGAACGTTAATTAGTTAACTTTAATATGAAATGATAAAAACAACCAAAGCGACTCGACCCTTGTCATTATTGCGGCTGTTGTTTTTTATGTCTTTCTGTTTTTCTTTTTGGTTTGAAGCAAACAATTTTATGGCAGGCAAAGGAGCAAGGGTAAGTGAATTGTGTATATGCCCCATGTAGCAGCAACTAAACTACGCGCAACTAAAAAACTTATCCCAACTCATTTATCAGCGACAATTAATGACGGCCTCATATCGCAAACTATATGTTTATGTTTATATTGTAGATATACTCGAACACATTTTTTTATTGCCCACAACGACAAAAAAGTAAAATGACATGTCATTAAGAGTCGAGTTGAGGCAACTCGAATGCGCCAATTATGGCAAGTGTGAGGAACAAAAGTGAACAACTTCTTGCTAACAAAATTGTAATTCAAACTAGAATTTATTTGTTTTTTTTTTTTTTTTGTTTTACATTTTACATTTCTAATAGGTGTATATCGATAGCATGATGATCAACATCGACGTGCGGATGTGCCTGGAGGAATTTCACATAGGCCAGAAAAGTGGTCCAGCACATGCTGAAAAACGAGGTGAATACAACCTGATTTCGGGCCGGGACGAAGGCAAAGTTTATCGTCTGCACGCAGGGCCAATAAATAATGCCAACCTTATAGGCATCCAGAAATTTATCGCTAACCTGCAGAAAACAAAACAAAAAATATTTATATTTATTAAGATGGTGCTTTTAAGTAGCCTCCAGACAATTGAAAAGATTGTATTTAAGTGCTTTACATTGAAAAATCAAATTAAACTAAAAAGAAACCTTTGTGAATTTGAATTTTGTGGTTGCTCCATTTATATTAAGTGGGAATGTAATCAAAACGCAGACAGACAACATTTTGAGTTTAATTTATGCTATTATTTATTTCCTGGGTTTCCCAAATCTTTGTAATATTCAATTAAATGTCCCCTTTTAATTTGCATATAATTCAATTCGAAACTTTAATTTCAAATTTGTATTTGAAATGTAATATTGTAAGTAAGTTCCAAATTAAATGATAATCCAAAGATAATAAGAATGTCTCTGAGAAAGCTTATAAGCTCATTGATGACGACAATAGGACAAAATAAATTGTTTGTGGTATTAAATGTAGTTAATTTAAAAGTAAAATAAATATCATATATTTATATTTATTTTTACTTAAAAATAAAATAAATGTTATATGCAATTTATATTTTCTTTTTGACGTTTATATTAACACATATTGATCAGTAATTTGCATGGTAAACAAATAAGACTATAAAACCTCTAGTTTTATTTACTGTGAGCTGAGTTGAACATCTTTAAAGAAAATTATACTATCGCATATTGTCAGGGTGTGTGAAAATGATGGGCTGTCATCGGGGAGTGGCATTTTTGCTAATGTTGTTGTGGTTAATTAAAAAGCCTTTTGGCATGTAGCATTTTCCCTTTTGTGAAAATGGTATTTATGTTTTGTACCCTGTCAAAAGTCAACATTGTGGCCCAAATGGCAATTGGTGTTGGTGTTTGACTACTAATTAAGCACAGTGTATGTGTGCTTTTGGTAGTATTGTGCAAATTCGCTTAAAACACATCTAGTACGGGCATGCCAATAATTTTAACAATGCAATTATTTTTTATGACTCATACATGGAGACAAATAGAAAGTTAGCATACAAAATTTCAATTTCATTTTATTAGTCTTACACTGCGCAACTTGATTTATTGCTCAGATTTGGCGGTGGGCGTTTTTTGAGAGATATTTCTATAGCGCTTTACAATTTTTGTAAAATAATGTTTGGTTATTTGAACATTTTTCAAGTTATTAATATATTATGAGATTGTGAAAAAACATTTAATAAATGAATAAAATATGAATTAAAAATATTTAAAAATATTTATTGGTTTAATACTTCTTTATTTTGGTTGTACAGAGGTTTTATTAAATCTAATATATATAAGTAATTAAATTTATTATATATTCAATTAAAATATACTTTTAACTACTTTGAGAAGTATACATTAAATAAAAATAAAATAAAATACCCTTTTTATTCAATATTTTTAATTGAATGCAAATCTATTTAAATAAATTTCATTTTTATTTAGTATTATTATTTTTTGTTTGATATTAATTATGAGAAAGACTTCGTTTACCCTCCATATATAGAGGCACAACTCAATCTTGGTCAGAGATCGGGTTGTTTATAGAGCAGTCTGGCAACATCTTCATTATGCTACACAAGCCGGAAAGTTTGCCAATCAACCGAAACCGAAACAGAAACAGAAACCGAGGAACTCAGACAAAGCGATAGATCTTGGGCAACGCATGCAAGCCAAATGAGACAACGCACGCTTTGACATAAATATATGGTAAAACATTTACATTTATCAAGATAAATGGTTTCTAATGATATAGAAGTAAGTTGAAGTTCGACTGCGAGTACGACACACACTGTGGCTGTGAGTTGGGGCCGCCAAGCCAACAAATCAATGCTGACAACTCGATGCAGACACTGACACAGACACAGGCACAGACACAGATTCAGGCACAAGCACACACACAGAAACAGAGACAGAGACAGAGACATGGAGACAGACAGACAGGTGATATTTATGCACGCTTACAGATGCTGGGCGGCAAAAACAGATATAAAAATACAGAGGCCGAGATACTGGGCCAGTCAGCCCGTCAGCCAGTCAGCCAGCCAGTCAGCGTCGCGTGTAACTGTCGTGAGAAAATGTATTTCCGAAAACCCACACACAAACACACACACACACACACACACAGTCAGACAGTCAGATAGTCGCATAATTTGTGATAGAATGTTGGGCTCGAAATCGAATTTGAAAATAAATAACTTTAGAGCTGGCAATGCAACTATGATAATGATAGCGATGGCGATAATTATGATGATAAAGTATTGGCCCACAACCAACATCATTTCTAAAAGCATAACAATAGTTATCATAATAAAACGGAAACTGAAAAATAAGCAGTCAACAAAATGTAGCTGAGTTTCTTATTTCGAGTAAGCATTAAAATAGTTGATAGGTGCTTGATAGATATTTTATTTATTTTACCGTGAACCACTTTAAAATGAGTACCAAATTTTACAACATTGTGTAACAGTGAATAGGAAGCACCAGCGACTCTTTAACTCTTTCGATCTGTATCTTGATGAGCCGAGTCAATCTAGTCATTTAATCTATTTCGCTTACAAGTCATGCACACATCGGGAATGCTAAAGGCGATCTTGGGCAGTAGAGGGTTAATGGGATCGGAGGTGCTTTCCTCTGCTTATTAAATGCTTCGTTATACAATTTTTACAGATTTTCAATGGGTTTCAAGCGAAGTCAACACAACTGGGTGAAAGAGAGAGTGAGAGACGATGCGATGTTATCACAGCATCCGATGTTATCAGCGTGAATAACTTAATGTGGCCGCCAATTGGGAGCAAAAACATTAATAACAACAAACAGGCAAAGAGCCAAACAGGCAAGCGATAGTAGCAAGAGTATCTTTGGGGGAATCATACCTCCTGCTTGGCCTGTTCGTACGTGTTGCCCTCCATCAGCGTCATGGTGAAGAGAAAGGAACTGATGGCCATGGGATCGTATGCGGTCTGCTCTGTGATCGCCTTGCACAGCGATGACTTAATATCTCTGCGGGGCCACATGACGCCGGCCAGTCTTATCCAAACATAAATTGTCGGCCCCATAAAAAAGAAACCAAACAAACCAAATCTGCAAACAAAAAAAGAAAAGAAAAGAAAACAAGTCGCAATCGATGCCAATTATCGACAGCTTGTAACTTATCCCTCTCTCTTTCTCTCTGTCTCTCTTTCTCTTTCTCGCTGCGTATCTCTCTTTTTTGCCCACCTCAGACACTTCATCCAGTCGTAGTTGCGGAATGTCCGTTTCTCGATTAGCGTCTGTTCGATGAGGCAGCCACATGGCCACAGCGTTCCATATGATAACATGCCCCTTAGGACTTTGTATTTGTTTGGCAAATTCAACAAATTGCGAAGCATTTTCGCGACCCGATCTTAAGTGACCAGAAAACAAATGAAGGAATTGTAATGAGAAACAGGCTGAAACGAGAAATTCGAATTCGACTTAAATCAATATTTCTGTATACATGTCAAATATTAAAAATAACAGAAATTTTAATATTTCGTTAATTATTAATATTTTAGTAGTACTTTTACTGGAATTACACAACAGAAAATAAAAGTGCATTCATTCGACTGCCTTCATAAAAAGTCTGAATTGTGTATTTTTATGAAGTCTGAAGATGTCTGAATTGTGTATTAAACTTTATTTTAATGGGAGCTGGAAGACTGTTTTACATTAAAAATAGTTTTGTCTTTTTATTATCTTCTTTAGTTATATTTTTTTCAATGTGATACGTGACGAAATAAAATTACGTGACCTGTTTTTGCTCGATGATTAAACTTGAGTGCCGATTGAGTAGAATGTCTGAGAATCTTTTTTAAAATATTTTTGAAAGATATATCTTAAGGTACGGCATGCTTGCATTAACCACTGGTGCACAACATCCATCGAAGTAATAATAAACTGATCCCATTTTGTACTCCAAAATAGAGAGTATATTTAATATCGATAATATCGAAAATAAAAATGCTTCTTATCCCATGGCATACCCCTAATACTTGAAGACTTATTAAGCTCTCTCAGTGAAACTGTGTTTTACAGTCGGACAACCGATGGGATTAGTTAAGGTTTGCTGCTTGTCAAGTCTGGCCTGTCATTACTTTTATAATTGCGTTCACGAAATTCGTTTTAGTTATTACCAACAATCTAGAGTTCAGCACAATTTGGCCAAACTCTCTTTGACATTAGCCACCTGCCGCACTTTGAATACACAATAAGGAAAAGCCCGCTTGTTTATGTAGTTGTTTGTAAACTGCACCTTTCAACATTTTGCGAGCTCATTTAAAATTTAAATGTAAATATAATGCAAATTAATGTTAAGGAAACATTTTGCTATGGCCCTGGCAGGCACACCGTGCTTGATAAACAAAGGCGAATGCGGCCTGTTTGGACAGTTGTTCAGCTCAGTTCCAGTTACACACACACACACACACACACACACACAGTCGCACATACACCTTGCGTCACGTCCTAGGCCAGGACACGGATGAAACAGCAACAACATGTACATGTTAATTACTTGTGAAAATATGCAACAGACGGCGACTAACGACAACAACAACAACAATAACAAAAACAACAAAAGCAGCAATGAGCCAGCCTGCAATTTGCCATGAGGTATACCTTTTCACACCAACTTAAATTACCAGCGCACAGGGCATGGACACTGGCTGGCAAAGTGGAAGAAGAGGGGAGGCGGTTACGACCCGAATTCAGCAGTACCGGCATGCCCTATTGTTCTGCGTGTTTGTGTCTGTGTGTGCCCTTCAAAGTGAACCTGCCTGACGGACTGCCTGCCCGACTGCCTGCCTGCCTGCCTGACTGCCTGCCCGACTGCCTGACTGTGCCTGGCTGTCAGGCTTGTGTGCGGGCATACTAATTACAACAGCAACAGCAACAGCAACAACAACCCTCCACACGCTTCAGCAACTGTTTCTTCTTCTACTCTCTACCACTACGACTAATACAACACTCTGCATACACAACCCACTCCCAAAACGAACTCCAGCCGCAACTTCAATTCGAGGCCCATTTTCATTTCACTGCCGCTGCGGCTCATTAAGCGGTCGGCTGTGCCCAAAAAAAAAAGGAAAAGGAAGAAGAATAAAATAAAATTTCAAATCACACATTGTTCATTTACTTTGCTGCTTTCAAGTCTGCCGTTTTCGACACATTGATGTGTTTCGTATACCCTGTGAATGGAAGCGCAACTGTGGCTGTTACACATATCTGTGAACCTAGGCACTATTTTTTAATCTTCTTCAGACTCATCGGCATCGGTCTCTTAGAGACTGATTTTCGATTAATCGTTAAAATAAAATTGTTCTTTTTTTTTAAGTTGAAACTTAGCAACAATTTCACATCCTTCATCAAAACTGTGTGAGAATTCTATACAATTTTTTCAAAATTGCATAAGCTACAAATATAAAGAATGATTAAATCACAACATGTAGTTTAAAATATATAAATCTGTAAAAACTTTTTTATGATTTCTCTTCAACTGGCTAATGGACAAGATTTTACATATTTTTCGTATTTTTCGACTTTCATAATATCCATCCCTCATTTCTTTATTAAATTCTCCAATTATGCATCTTTGTTATTTAATCATGACATTTAAATTAATTTAAAGCTGTAAAAAATTATTTATGATCACTTATTATAATTATTTGAAAACATATATTTTAAAATAAAGTAATTTGAAATAAATTAATTTTTGATATTTTCTATAATTATTCGAGTATACTCTATTTGAAATTGCCAAGTGGCACAGGGTATCACGCTCGTCAAGCAGTGCCAAATTGTGGCAGTGTCGCTTGTCTTTTATTACATTGTACTTTTGATTTCGGGGACTGGCTGCCGTTCCGTTTAAGTATCTTTCGCTGGTGCCTAATTGCTTTTTATGACAGTCGTAGTGAATATGATAAATCTGTTCGTGTTATGTTCTATTGTAGCGTTTTCATGTTGGGCCTGGCTAAAACATTATTTCGACATTTGTCGAAACCGAAACATTCTTTGCAATTAAATTTTCGTGTTTTGTCGAAGTTTTCATAGTTTTCGGCATTCCAGTAGCGTGCATGTAGACGACACATAATGCCATAGTACTTGACATCTGTTACATGCCACACCCCCCTCACCCCTCTCACCCATCTCACACTTGCCACACCCCTTTCCTTACAGCTCGTTAAGTTACGTTTTGTGTGTCGGTCTGTCGGTCTGCCGGTCTGTCTTTCTGTCTGTTCATCCTGTCGCGTAGCCTGCATGTCAGTCAAATGTGTCAGCTGTGCGAGTGAGCCGATGTGTGACATTTATTTGCAATTGGCTGCGGATTTCATTAGAGAGCTGCTCTTCGAGAGCGGAAAAGGCTTCCAGTGCACCACTCGAGTGCCATTCGTTGTGCTGCTGCCACAGATGCCCTTCAACGGCAGCAATCTCTGCGGGCACTGCGGCAAATCAAAGTGCGGCAATTGAACTTGCCACTTGATAGCATTCAATTGACTCGACTGGATGATGGCACAGCCATACGATTTTTATAGTACTTTTAAGTATAGGTGTATGAACAGGTACATTATTTATTAAACTATTGATTTTTGTTTCGGTTTTATTTACATGCATCAAGTGAGCTGAATAGGAAAACAGTTACTTAACAGCAAAGTGATTGCAAACAAAATAAATAAAATGATACTTTCTCTTGAGTTAGTTTTACAATTTTCTCTGGAATTAGTTTTGCAATTAACAATATATACATAAAAAAAAACAAATAACAATAAATTACATAAATTACAAACTTATGTTAAGCAGGAGGAGGAATCGGGGAGAGTTACAGCTATATGGGGTATCATCTAGTTATACAATCTCGATTAGAGCACTCTTATTCAGTGGCATCATTCTGTGGCTACTCGACGAAAACTAAAAATCTCAGGCAGCAAATGGTCGAAAATTGTCCGCAGCTAAACTGAAAATTGAGTATTGCCAATTGAATACGGCATGTTTAAAACCATATTCATCATTTTATTATTATTTTTTTTTTCATTTTATGATTCATTCAACCTTTCGGGCAATTTGTTCCATTTCGTCGAATGCCATAAACTATATAAATGCAATTTGGCTGTCGGCTATATTGTGATTATTTTTCATGGCAAATGGAAAAATCGGTTGGGGAAACTGATTTGGCTGTCTGGTCTTATATTTTGCATGACGACGTTCAATTTTTACAATGTGCCCCCTCTGCGAGTGTGCAACGAAATCATTTTCACGCTCACAACAGCAACAGCAACAGCAACAAAAAACAAAAAACTATAGCAACTACAACAGCAGCAACCTCAGCAGGCAAATAAATTAAAAGTAAAATGTTTATTTACGCTCTGCGTCCAGAAGGATGTATCAATGGTGATGGGCCCAAAGGGGGGTGCGGATGGTGGACGGGGGTGGGGCCGCAGCAACTGAAACGCCTGCCAGTTTCCTGTACAACATTTGCATTTTGACGCTGTTTTACGCATAATGCGGATAAGAAAGAGACGCCATCATCATTCTCTCTCCGTCTCTCTCTCACACACACACACACACACAGAGGTCTGCCTTACGCGGCTTATCAGCCAAATGAAATCAAACAACCAAGGCGGCAAAACACAGATGAAGTTAAGAGCTGGGCGAGGGACGAGGGGCAGGCAGGAAGGCGTTTAAGAATGGAGGCGTGGAGACAGAGGGGTGCACAAGTCAGCAGAGCCTGCAGCATCTTGCAACATTTTGTTTTAATTTCGCACTTTTGAAAAGAGTGGCAGCCGCCACTCGAACGTTGCTTTTGATGTTGCCCAGACGCGGACGCGGACGCTTACGCCGAAGTCGACTGCGACAGCGGCAGCGACGCCGACACTGGCAGCTGTTGTTTGGCTTCAGCATTCAACCATCCAGAGCAACATTTTCTCATATTTAGCACTCCAAATACCCTGCAAACATACAACAACGAATACACTAACAAATGTTCGAGTTGAATTGGATTTTAATGAATGAAATAAGTAAAAGGTTTTGAGCAATTTGTGTTCTAGAAAATTTGCATTTCACTGAATAAATGAATAAATGTAAGTTGCAAATAAACTTTCTTTAATTGAAGCATTAGCAAGCAGAATACCCATTAAGTTTTTTTATGTTTTCATTATGTCTTAATTAAAGCCAAAACAAGCGTAATTAAAATTCCCAAATAATTAGCAATAGTCTTAAATTTAAAATCAACTAAGATTCATTTTAATTTAATATGATATCAATTAAATTATTGTTTCATCTATACCATGTATAAAATAAATTGAAATCAAATCAGATTCTCGTTTGTTCCTTAAGCTTCTTTCTGTTTGTGAATGAACAGTCACCAATTAAAAGAAATTAAAGCGTATTTATGGTTCTGTAATTGGAGAATACATTT